AAGAAGGTACTTTCCGCTTTATAGCTTCTCAATTATATGCCTAAGGGTTTTTCTTAGATTTTTGTCCAACTTAAAAAGAAATCACTAAATGATAAAATAGCAAAAATATTATTGAAACTATCTAGTTATGAAAAATGAATGAATGATAGAACAAGTGATAGAAATCTCCTAGCCTATTCTGAAGCATATCCAAAGCAACTGTGAAGTTAAAATTATTTTTTGAGGGAATTTAAAATAACTTTTATTTTTATTACAAAGTCAGCAAGCCATTTAACATGGGGGCAAAATATAGAAAAGATCAATGAGAGAAAGTACCAAAAACCAAGTATAAATCTACCACTCATAAAAACTGTGACATTTTGATTTATGTTGTTAGTATCATATACGGACATGTCTGAGGGTATGTGTGTTTGTGTCTCATCTTGGGAATTGCCTAGAAAACTTTTTTAAAGCAAGAGTTGAGGAACTGGGTGGGGTATTTGAATGCATTAATAGTAAGAAAGGATGATTAACTAGCTTGAGATTGTTTATTCTATTAGATATATTATACAGCTTCTGTGCAAATAGCTGCCAAAAATATGGAAATCAGAACATAGTATTTCCATGGTAGTTTTCATAATGGCACTGTATTACCTAAAGATTAGTAATCATCCCGACATAATACAGAACTGATTGGAACCACAATATGGCATCAACAGGTAGTATATACTGCATTCCAAACTACTCTTTGATTTTTTGAACAATAATTATCTGGGAAGGCAAACTAGAGAGGGTGCATTAGACCCCTTCCAATTCCAGATTTTGATTCTTTAGCGATTGTCTCTGTCTTAGGCAAATTTGAAATTTCTCTCAGAGAAAAACTGATGAAAATAATTTTCACAGATATACAGATAACAGTAAAACTCTTTGAACATCTTGTAAAAGTGCAGTGTAAAATTATTACTAAATGTTTTTGACAGAGATTATTTACATTTATTGGAAAATATTTGGATATTTTGGATATATTTTGGAGATATTAGAAAACTTAGAGTAATTTTTCATAAGCAATGCTGAAAGTCCCATTCTTAAGAACATTTGTAAAAGGAGTCTTTGCATGGATGAAAGCTATTGGGAACATGGGATAAAAAAATTGACTTTTAAAGTAGCCATTTTGTTGTATATTACCAAGGTCTGGAGATAGATCTGGCACATGGTAGGTACTCAATAAATCACTGATTATTGAACGAACCTATATCTGAAACAACCCCTCACATGCATCCTGAGGACTTCTTTTCTTCGTCCCTTAGTACTCTAGGGGGTGCTGAGCTATCACAGCTCATATGCAGACTGGAACGAGGGGGAAAGTACAGTACAGGGAGTCAGATAAGAGTTCAAGTTGTGATTCTATTCACTAATTAGCTGCGTGACCGTGGCCAGCTAAGCCACAATGATCTCATTTGCAAAACGTAGATGAAAATACTTCCTCTTTCCCAGTATGACTTTAGACTCAAATGATGACAATTATTAAAACACTCTGAACAGAAAAGTAGTGAACACGTACTGGGCAGACTTTGCACAAGAGGCCTGACATCTCTTTCCAATTTCATTATAAATTTCATATGTACATCTCTGCATCTGGTTATTGTATTATCAAATTTCCTTATCTCTAAATTCACAATAAAAATGCTTACATATTGGGAAAATCTGCCTCCTCCCCCAAACATCCTGATCATTACCTTAAGAGTCTCATGCTCTACCGACTGAGCTAGCCGGGCGCTTGATCATTACCTTAAATTGGCTTCCTGTACCAAATGCATGCCTGCAAATTTTCTTTTCTAATATTTTCCCTCCCACAAGCTTTATTATGTGTGGTGCTATTTATGTTGTTAATAAGGGTTTCGCCATTAAGAAGTCTGGCAACAGAAACAGTTTCTCCCCCCTCTTCAATCTCTTTCAAGTTGCCTTTTTTACAACTGCATCTCTCAGATCTCTAAGAGCACTGATTGTAACATCACAAATAAGAGTGAAGGGGTGGGTGGGATGGGGTGGCAGGGTGATAGACATAGGGGAGGGTATATGCTATGGTGAGTGCTGTGAACTGTGTAAGACTGATGAATCACAGACCTGTACCTCTGAAACAAATAATACATTATGTTAAAAAAAAAAAAAAAAAGAAGAAGAAGAAGAAGAAGAAGAAGATAGTAGGGAGGGGGAGAAAAAAAAAAGTGAAGGGAATTCTCCATGAAGGCATAAAAGGAGATGAGAGACAATGATGAAATCGTGTGTATGTAAAGAAGTTTGTGTTAAGACTGCCTCCCTGCAAGTCTATGCAATCCTGTGTCAATGGTGTACACATCTATCTCAGAGGAAAAGAAGGAAGGCTTAATTCCTGGAAGTCTCTAGAAAGGTTTGTGCCTGGCTCAGGTGTTTCTTAGGAAGGAGTTCCGAGGGCAGGCCCAAAGCCTGGTAATTCCAGACAATCCAGAAGAACAATCTGTGGACAACTAAAAGTAATAAGCATGAAATGTGGGGTCATGCATAATACAAAGGAGGTTAACTCAGTGCCCATAGTACAGGGCAGAGAAGAATAGGAAAATCACAATGAAGAAGTCCTATTCCACTCTGGTTCTCTTACTTCTCTGCATGGGGAGCCGAGGAGGGGACAGGAAGAACTGCATCTGTTCAGTGTTTATAACAAAACTGCCAAGTCTACATAAAAACAAATCTGTTGCTTCCCAGTCATGCTGAAGCTGGGGGTTTTAGCACCCAAAAGAGTTGTGTAAAATGGGGTAAATGGGTCTCACTGGCAGGGGAATATACCTGTCTTCATCTCTTCTCTAATGTCTCATGGCTAATGTTCTTATTTTCTTCCTGGAGACCTTCATTGGAGCACAAAGTTGTAATACAAAACATCTGTTCTGGCATAAATTCTCCTGGAGCTACTGATGCTTCATACAGAAGATATAACAAACAGTCAATTTAGCAATTTGTGGCTGCTATTGTTGGGGTTTCTGTTTGTTTTTTAAAAATGTATTTAGGGCGCCTGGGTGGCTTAGTTGGTTAAGCGACTGCCTTTGGCTCAGGTCATGATCCTGGAGTCCCAGGATCGAGTACCGTATCAGGCTCCCTGCTCGGCAGGGGGTCTGCTTCTCCCTCTGACCCTCCCCCCTCTCATGCTCTCTCTCTCTATCTCATTCTCTCTCTCAAATAAATAAAAATAAAATAAGATAAATGTATTTATTAATATATCCTAATCACACACAGCAAGATCTGGCTAGGGGAGACAGAGTTTTATTACGTCTATGATATTTTCATTAAGAAAAACAGATAAGTCTAGAAAGTGTCCTTAGTTGAAAAGAACCAGTTTCCACCCCCCCCCATGGAGTTCTTCAACACACTTGGTTTGATTTACTACAAATAATAACTGGCAAATGAGTGCAAGAGACTTGAGAGCCCTAGACAAACTTCTTGCCTTTTTCATTTTGTATTTTCAGCACCCATAGTAAATGCTTAATAAGTACTTTTTGAATAACTAAGATATATAACCTGTGTGTATTTAGACAGTGAAACATGAATAAAATAATTTGCAATATACACGGTGCATGAATATATACACACAAATGCACATGTGCACATATATATACACCCATACATATAGAGGTGCTGTGTGTGTAATTTGCCTTCAACATCTGAACATTCCAAGTAGGAAGAAAATAGATCCGAGATATAAAACTAAAGTCCTTAGGTAGACCAACTTTAAAGATCTTGAGATAGGTTTTTTAGGGTGATATCCTGGGACCTTTACGTAGATAACACAGTGAAAATTCTGAACACAGGACATGATCACTGAAGGCCGGTTTTATACACTTAAATATTTGCCAAGATTATGCTGTGGAATTTATTACCTCCCAAGTGTTCCAAATGCAGAAAGAGGGGAACTAGGGAAACACCTCTGGTTCCTTCTTTTTAATGCAAAACCCTAGTAGACAGGATCCTTTAGTATGGAGAAAATCCTCACCATCCTCTGGGTTGACTGGGACCACCCTTGCAACTTTCCTCTGCTCCAGGCCGGTTGAAAATCCTGGTGCTTTGTGGTTAGTTTCTTCAAAGGATTTAGGAAGGAATTATTTCCTCCCCCTACTTCACTGTGCAAATAAACTGAGGTTCACAGAGGCCAAGTGACTTGCCCCAGAACTCATGGCCGGTAAATAAGTTTTTCCGTTTAAGTACATCCGGAATAACAAGGATTCTCAGACCCTGTACCAGTCTCATTGTCCTACCCTTAAGGTAATGTTTACCAGCGACACAGAAAACAATTGCAGATTGAGGACTGAGGGGGGAAGGGTAGGAAGCGGTCATTAGCAAATCCCTGGGCCTGGGGGTCACCTGCTCGCTAGGATCAAAACAGTGAAACCAGCTATTCCTAAGGACCTCAAGGACGAGTGGGCCATTGTTTTCAGAACCAGCTGTGGAGAATCAGCCTAAGAGTGGCCTCGGAACAGCTGCGGCGGCTGCACCAAGGGGCGGGGGCGGTAGTGGTGGAAGAGTGAGCTAGGAAGGCTCGCTGGCAGGGACCCTGCCTCGCCACCTCTCGGCAAACCAGGAAGTAGTTCTGCTTAAGTGCAAAGGACTGAGCCGCCTTTTGAACCGAAAGTGTGAACGGCACACAGCAGGCCCCAGACGGGCTTAGTGACTGCAAACCCTCGGCGGGCAGGGTGCCCGGGCGGGGGAGGGGGGGAGGGGGCTGCGGGCTGGCAGCTAAATGGTCAGAGTCGGAAGCACCGAGTCGGCGCTATCACAAAGTACACAGAGCAAAACAGGCTCTGCTATCCTGGCAAACCCTGACCGAGCAAAGTCCGGGGTAAACCAGCCTCCAGACGCGCGCTTTCCCTACCCCGCGTTTCCCACGCGCCCCGCTCTCAGCTCTGCAGCCTCAGCCGCCCTGTCTCTGCGGGCCCATCTTCCGATCGCCCCACCTTTCGGCAGGGCCCTCATTCCCACAGCGGGCGCACCGCACTCACCATTTCTTGCCTGAGGAAGTGCAGCTTGGTTTCCAGCCTCTCCAGGGCGCTGCAGTGGCTACGACGTGGGGAGCCAGAGGTTGGAGAGGACGAAGAGGAGGACGACAAGGAGGGAGGGAAGCTGCAGCTGCTGCTGCTACCACTGCAGCCGCCTCCACCGTCGCCGCTCCCCCCGCAGGGGTCCCTGTCCCTTTCCAGGGGAACCGGCTCCTCCCCACGGAGCGAGCGCACTAGGCTCTCGGGTACTTTGCGCCCCAGCTTCAGCTCGATGTCTCTGAGGTCTGGCAGCGGGCCGTCTTCCATGACTTTTCAAGAACGAGGATAATGGTAATGAGACGCAGCGGATGAGAGGCAGCCGCGGCCTCCAAGGCTGCGGCGAAATGAGCGGACCCCTCCCGGCGCCGGGGTCTCTATCCTCGGCGGATGGAGTGCACCGTCCGCTCCATAACCGCTTGCGCTATTCAACCCTGAAATCCGCGCAGGACGAGGCGGCTCGCAGCCGCAGTTTCCTGGGTGCTGTGGCTCCTTCGACACTTACTAAGATTTTAGAGATCGCTTCATCCTCTTCCTTTTTGGCTACCCCACTGCCAAACGGAGTTAATTGATACTGCAGAGAGGACAAAATCCGAGTATTACAAACCAAAAGAAAAGAGAGGGAAATGAAGTCTGCTTTGGCTTTATGGGGGGAAAATTCACACTATAAAACTGTCCGTTCACATCTCTGCATCATTCACTGGTTGCCCATCTGGTACCACGCGACACAAAGTAATGATGTGGCCACACTCCAGGGTCGTTTCATTTTCCAGCCATATGTCTCCAAGCTTTCGGAATATTCTGGATTGTCAGAAATAATCCCTGGTCAGTGATAGAGGAGGTCGGTCGTGTGCATGGACGCATAAAAGAGATGGTTAGCTTAGCAGGAGTTTAACGGCTTCCTTGTTGTAGCAGAAATGCCCTTCTTCTCATTTAGGCAGTTTGATCCAAGTCATTGTGTTCCTCCGAGCCTTGGAAACTTTAAACTCCACTGGCAGGTGGACCAAACCAGGGCCAACCCTTCTACCGTATGTCACAGGAAAGAAGAGCAACAGAAAATTTCCCACCCTGTTGGTAGCCCAGTTCGGCGAACTGCTTTAGTTGGAAGTACGCTAATATGGGTGTTAGAGTTTCAGTTTTCCCAGCGAAATTGCCCAATGATAGCCACAACCTTTAAAACAGTTAACAGAAGTTGGAGGAAGAAGATTGACTTTAAATGTAGTGTCATTTCCCACCCCCTATCTTCCTATAAAGCAAAAGTCTAGCTTTAGAAGGCTTTCCAACTTTTACACTAGTAAAAAATGAAATTATTTCACCAAAAGTTCAGTAGGAATGTATAGCTAGAATGAATTATCTTACCAAATGTTACAGTACTTCACTGCAAGAAGTGAAGAATTATATAGTCAGAATAATTTATATGACTACTGCAGTAGGAGTGGATTTTAAAGGAGGGAAGTTGCTGAGCTACTTTTCATTATGGAGAAAAAATATTGAACGGAGCTAGTGAAAAAGTTGTCTTTGATAATTTATCTATATATTTTTTAACTATTTGGAAGAGACTTAAAGCATACAATTTATGAGATACTTTTACCAAGTAAGTTACTATGAGCTACACGGATTATAGGTTTGACTCAACATTGAATTTGTGTTAATAATCTTCAAGTAGAGGATACTGTTTTCAATTCAGTAAACTCTCATTTTGGGGTTCCATTGGAATGTTTGAAAATACGGGCTCCTCTATTTTTGGGACAAATAAATATTTGTGTTCTTGTTCCTTCCTCAGCTCCATTCCCAAACATCACTCAGGTTTTATACTGAGCACATGGGCAAATACATTTCAGAGTCTGTTCTTAGTATAGCCTCATCTAAGAATTATAAGGATAGAGAACATAGGCCTTCAGAATGAAATGTTTCATGTCAGGGAGAAAATTGCTAAAGTTCTCTTATCAACATGCCAGAAATTTGTGTGTTATTTCTCACTCTTAGAAATTAATGAAGAAAATAGTTGTAAATTAAGTGGCCCATTTTTAAGTTAGAAGAACCACTTATAGAACTGAAGGAGAACAATGCTAAATCTCAACTCACTGATAAAACATACTTTGTCCTAAATTTGGAAAAACCACAAACTCATTGGATAAGAATTACTCTGTGACATATAACATGGAAGGCTTGCATTTCATTCAAGAGCAGGTTGTGTGTGTGTGTGTGTGTGTGTGTTTTAAACCCTTACAAAGTTCAGCATAGGGCTGGCTGAGAAGAGGAGCTCACAAACACAATAGCTGGCTTGCACTTGGCCAATAAGAAAAATGTGTATTGTCAAATTATCAGTATAAATGTCTAAAAAGGGAATACCTCCTTTGCTGTGAGTCACAGACAGTAAAGTTAGTACTTGATACTGAAGTTGAGAACTCAAAAATATAAAAGTTTTTTTTGTTTTCATTTTGAATGTCTGCTGAGAAAACTCCTCAGAAAATAAAAATAAAGCCCCAATGTATCCAGCGTCAGCTTACAGGGCTTTGTTAGATTCAAGATAACCTAGAATGCCCTTAAGGATCTGGGTGGTCAGCTTTTTGTTCTCAGTACCTTGAAGGCAGGAGGGTGGGACAAAAATTGAAAACATTAATTTGGAGAGTTAGAGCCAGATACTGGAGGAACTGGAGGAATTGAAACTTTGGTAAGGACCGACAAAATATGAAAGGCAGCGGGATCCAGTTTACAGATAGATAAAAACCCTCAAAGACGAAGAGCAGGACCAGAATCTGATAACTCACAAAGGTAGGCTGGAGTTTTCTTGTAATTTATGAAACAAATATTTCCTATAGTTTATGAAACATGAAATTTCTTTCCTTAGTCACCCTCCTTTTTGATTCTTGTTTACAAAATAGATCTGGTCTCATTAAGAAAAAGGCCTGTATGTAAAGTAACACTTTGTGCCAGTGCAATATAAAACAAATGCAAAAATTTTAAGAAAAGCTGTTTTGTTGAGCCTTTCAAAATTTCTCAGTTTAATGGTTTATGTCATTTAAAAGTAGAGACATTTGGGGGCACCTGGGTGGCTCAGTTGGTTAAGTTTCTGCCTTCGGCTCAGGTCACGATCTCAGGGTCCTGGGATTAAGCCCGACATGGCTTCTCCCTCTCCCTCTGCCCATCCCCACCCGCCCACCCCCCGGAGCTGCTCACGCTATTTCTCTCTCTCTCTCTCTCTCAAATCAATCAATCAATCAATAAAATCTTTAAAAAATAAAGTAGAGACATTTTGAATGCCAAAATGTTAATTTTCAAAACATATTAGAATCACAGAACTGTTATTAGCCTTCTTATAGATTGTGTTAACTCTGTCATTAATGCTTTATATGGTCTGGTCTAGGACATTCCTTACACAAAATGTTAAAAAATAAGGGTCTATTGTTTTTTACCTTTGAGTCTTGAGAATACTTCTCCTGTCATTTAAAAAAAAAAAAAAAGTGTGAGAGATTTAACTGCTTGCTAACCTTGTATGTTAGCCTTTATGTTAATTACACATCTTGATTTGAGAAATTAGCTGTCAAGAACTTGTAGTAGTGGGTTTAAGATGGGGGCCTGGGGTGAGAGTGAGGTCATCACACATAAGAAAGAGGAAGAACAGAGAGAAATAGGGAAAAACTCTTCTCAATAACCTTTTCCTATTTCCCCAGCTCTCACTCTTAACAGCATTCCCTCCCTGCTCCTACCCTTCTTGTCCATCTCCAAACACCTCCTGTTTCCCCAAGACTAACCTATTGAAAAGTAAAATTATAAAAAATAATTCTTATATTATTTGTTTGTGCTATAACTTTTTAGATCCAGACTACTTTATTATCTGCTTCCTTTTCTGACTGCCTCAACTGTGAACTGGATTTGCCCTTTATTTTTCTATTTAGAATGCATAAGAAATCTAAGCATGAGTGTTCAACTATGGAGAATAAGAGACTGATTTTCCTTCCCAGTTGGATTGTGTTCACAGAAAAGGCAAGAGAGCCTCTTACTTATCATTACAAAAAACAAAACAAAACTAAAAAGAAACATAGTGGCTAATTAAACAGGAACATGGTTGGACTCAGATGACAGGTTTGAAAAGAATGCCTCAGTCGCAGAAACAGTTGATGTGATGCACACTTCACACATTCCACCCTTAGAACGCTTCCTGGTATGAGATACAGTACTTTCAGCAAAAGTAGACTCAGCAAGACTCTGTGTGGCATGAGTCATGCCACTGCTTAATCTGCTGCTGGCATTGTGGTTAAAAGAAGAAAGGCCTTCCACCTTCCCTCTGGCCCTGGTTGAAAGTTTGCAGCATTCCCAACTCTGGCGGGCAGAGAGTTCAAGCACGAGGGCAGAGTCTCTAATCTGAGACTGCTCTTCCCACAGTGCAGAATAATAGCAAGCAGCTCACAGCCTCAAATTACGCCTACGAATTTTAGGAAGTAACTATTTCATGGGTATCAGATTCTTTGAATTTGTGTTTTAAATGTGTAGAGCTGCTGTTCTTATAAATGTTTTTGTTCATCTGATGAACTGCTTGACAAGGACGATGTCATCGCAAAACTAAAGAATGTTGATCCTATCCATACAGAGTAGAATTAGAGATGTGCTAAAGCTATGAAGACTTTACCCTGCCTGTTTATAGTCATTTAATTCACCTATAATTTTGTAGGTGGGTTGGATCTGTTTTACTAAGTAAAATCATCTAGTTTGTTACCAACTAGAGAAACATTTACATGTGTATGCCGTGTAGATTGCCCTATCTATCTATCTATCTATCTATCTATTCATCTATCATCTATCTATCTGAAATGTCTCTCCCTAAGGAGCACAGATCCTTTAAATAGTACCCTGATTGGAATCTAATTAATATTTATAATCACAGCTAAACACTTCCCTGGGAGATTTAGTAGACAATACTAAAAGTAGGTCACCAGCATCTAAGTCTGCCTTATCCCCTCTTCACAATCCCTGTCAAATCTCTCTGTCTTCATTATTTGTAATAGAGTCCTTTATTTGCTTTTACTTGCTTTTCTGAATTCCTACTGAAAGGTGCAGAGCAGGGCTCAGAAAAGTGATCTCTTAGGTGAAGTTAACCTTGGTCAGTTCCTCTGTAGCCATTCCAGTTTGGCTCATGGAATGGACTGAGAGGTTATTTCAATGGTGTGCTGGTACTTGTTTGCAACTGCCTCTCTGAAAACATAAAAATAACTGATTTATAGCTTTTGACAGTTTTCATGGTGTAAATATTCCCACCATGGCTGATTTCAAATTTCCAGTATGAGTTGAGGAAGGATGGGCACTAGCCCAGCATTATAATAGTATTCCCACCATATAGATACATTAGACATAAGTAGCTTCAAGAGCACAGATCGTAGTAAAATGTAGTCAAATAATTAGGAAGTGATGCATTTTGATTACTTATTGCCTTTGTTTTAGAGTAAGTTACCTAATTTAAAGCTTGTACGGTGTAGTTTTTGAAATAATGGCTGTGTCTAGCAATCAAGTTGCAAAATTCCTAAAAATTTAACAATCTGCTCCTGCAAACTGGTATGGGATGCTTCCAGTGCATGTCTGGTTCATAAAATATTGGAGGATGATCATTAATTACAGTTAAGAAAGGAAACAAAAAATTCAAAGTCAGAAAAAGCATACAGGTTAAGGTCTAAAGGTTGGGCAAAGTGATGCTTGGGGAAATGAGTTCCAAAGTCAGAAGCAGGAAGATTAGGGAACTCATGAAAGTGTGTGTGGTCATTTCCTGGGGGCCGTCATAACAAAATACCACAAACTGAGTGACTTAAAACAACAGAAATGCAGTTCTGGAGATGAGAAGTCCAAAATCAAGATGTTGAGAGGGCCAAGCTCTCTCGAAAGCCTTAGGGAAGGATCCTGCCTTACCCCTTCCAGCTTTCGTTGCCCAAGTGTTCCTTGGCTTGTGGCAGCGTAGTTCCCCTCTGATTGTGTCCTCACATGGCTGTCTTCCCTCTGTGTCTGAGTTCAGATTTTCCTCTTCTCCTAAGGACAGTAGTCGTATTATGTTAAGGCCACCCCTCCTCCAATATAGTTTAACTTAGCATATTAAAACAATAAGAACCCCATTCCCAAATGAAGTCACATTCTGAGGGAGCATAGAGTTAGGATTTCAACATATCTTTCTGCATAGGGACGATTCAACTCATAACATTGTGGACTGGTGTTCGGTCTTGGGGGCTCACCCAGACATGAGGCTGTGAATAA